GTCATCCGTCAGCTGGGAGAAGTGATTGGCAACGACGATATGTTAAAGATTAGCGAATGCTGCCAGAGGTTCGAACCAGACGAAAGGCCAAATGATGAAGCTATCATCGACTGCCTTGATATGATTGGGCAGCTTGAGCGCATAAACCCGATTTGCAGGCCTCTTGATAAATTAAGTTTAAAACAGGCTGGATATTATCGTACCTAATAAAATAATCAGAAATATCAATTAAATAAATAATTAGGCCTATTAGTTAAAGATTTATAGAACAGATAGTTATCACATTATTTTAAATAATTTAAACGAAAAAGAAGGAATTTGCGTATATAAATTATTGTCAATAAATTTTATGAAATTTTTTGTAAACTTTTAAATCTCTCTGTATTTGTAGATTGTACAATTGGTATCTAGGGCCTATATATTATAATTAGGCTTATGTTAAAGCTCACGGAACAAATAATGCAAAACCATGCACTCAATAAACGTCTGGAATTCAGTGACGTACCTGTACCTAGGAGTCTTGAAATATAGGAGGTGGGGGTGGTGGTGTGGGGCTGACTGGGGAGTGAAGATCAAGCAGGGGGTGGGGGAGCTTGATGATTAAGTGAGAAGGCACTTAGTTCGCAAAATAAGGTGATGAGGGGATTGTTATAATCTACTTGAGGGTAATTATTTTTTTGCTTCGACGATTTTTAAATTGGGGGCGGGGGTTTAGGGGCGAGTTTTTTTTAGCCGAGTTTTCTAGGGTAGGGAGTTTTTAGGGGGCGTGCGCTCACCCCCGCGCGCCCCTATATACTCCCGGCTGGGACTCGCAACATACTGGTCTGAAAAACTCTAACATAGTAGATCCTTGCCGAGCCAGCTCATGGCTTCTTACCTCCATAGATTTCTCTAACGTGAAGCGGATAGGAGTGTGACCTCTTCCGGGCCCTGGATGGAGACGCTAGTCCACCACAGGTAACGCCATCAATGTAAAAAAAAAAAAGAAAAAAAAAAAAAAAAAAAAAAAAAAAAAAACCGTTCCCGCTGCACTAAACAGCTTTTACACTCAAAGGTGTATAGATTATGGAATTTCCGAGGACTGAGCTGAGAGGGACGTACAAAGGCTGAAACGGAATAATTGACGGAACAAAAAGAGAATCGTGCCGCTGAGCCGTTTCAATGCGTTTTAGTTGTTCTGTTTACTGTGTCGTTTACGTCAAGTCGTACTTAATTTTAAAATGTCCTATTATTCATTGAATAATAAATACATTTTATTGCACTTGTTGATGCAATACAATGCAATGTCTATGAATGAAATCGGATATGGGACCTCTAAAATCATATACAGGGCTTTGGTGATTAGAAAGCGTCCACTAATTTTTCTATTGGACGTTTGGCTTGATTTTTTTTTTTGGTTCGTGTGCAAAAAAAATCTTCATTTTTTTTTCGTCACCGCGAATACATCGCGCACCGTGATAAAAATTTAATTGTAATTGAACATTACTTTCGTAAAACAAGCTTATTTAGAACCCGAAGAAATTTACTTCAAATTCAATATTAAGTATGAACAATTAAGGAATTCATTGAATCAATAGACCCTCAAACACAACAAACTGAACGTTTAATAGAAATATTCTAGACCTATTTTAAAGACTCAAGGAACAGATTTAGATGTAGGCCTACGGCCAGGAGGCCGCCCGGGCCTTCTCCTACTACTACTAGGCCGTAGCCTAGCCTAGTTATGAAATCATCGCACGAATTTACCTGTCGGCATGCACCGACCAAAAAGACGTCAGTGACTGTATTCTCTCTCGAATGCTGAAATGTTTATTTCTTTGACAAAAGTCTATCAAAATTACAAATAAGTTCTTTCTAACACAATTATTCATCATATCCGTACTGTACATGTACTGCTGATGTGTAGTTAATTAAACGCATACTGCAGGAGCAAAAATCAGCATACGCACAGCTAAATGTATACGCACACGTATCAGTGGCGGATCCGGGGGGGGGTTCAGGGGTTCGGACTAACCCCCCTCTATGAAGAAACGTAACAAAATACTACTGGGTCCAGTGGCTTACAAAATTCATGCTAACTAGATGCGGATCCAGACATTCGCCCACTTCGGCCATGCGAAGGTCAGGTGAGAAATCAAAATAAAATGTTGACCATTTTTTCCAACAATCATACTTAACAAACAAGTTCTTTCTAACACAATTATTCATCATATCCGTACTGTACATGTAGGCCTACTGCTGATGTGTAGTTAATTAAACGCATACTGCAGGAGCAAAAATCAGCATACGCACAGCTAAATGTATACGCACACGTATCAGTGGCGGATCCGGGGGGTGGGGGGTTCAGGGGTTCGGACTAACCCCCCTCTATGAAGAAACGTAACAAACTAACTACTGGGTCCAGTGGCTTACAAAATTCATGCTAACTAGATGCGGATCCAGACATTCGCCCACTTCGGCCATGCGAAGGTCAGGTGAGAAATCAAAATAAAATGTTGACCATTTTTTCCAACAATCATACTTAACTTTCCTTGACACTTATTTTGAACATTACCATTACCATTACCAAATCACATTTCTAAAGCAATACAATATCGTCACGCACATTTGTTTGTGGTATTTTAAAGCTGGTTCAACTATTTGTGTACGTTTTTAAACACTTCAGATCATTATAACTTCACGGATATATTTTCACTGCAAGTAGGTCGATGACTGTTGTATTATTGAATGGTAATTGTTATTATCGTGATGGAATAGACAATACCTGGATTTACGTCAGGAGAATCAATTAGGGGGCCTATATGCATTTTGCCCAAACTGTCGTGAATATGTTTGAATACTAAGTGCGTGATGCACTAATATACCTTTTTTGAAATCACATTTCTAAAGCAATAAGATATCGTCACGCACATCTGTATTTGTGGTATTTTAAAGTTGGTTCAACTATTATTGTGTACGAGTTTAAACACTACAGTTCATCATAACTTCATGAATACATTTTAGATTCACTTCACTGCAAGTAGGTCGAGATGACTGTTCTATTATATATACTATTATTCTATTGTATATACTCGCGTATGTCCTATAAGGTGACCCGTGTATAAGACGACCCCTGAGTTTTAGAAGATTTTTGGTTGATATTTGTATGTCTGCCGTATAAGACGACTCCCTGTTTCATGGGCGGAATTCTTAATTTTTTGTGTTCCTGATACTGCATCTAGCTGGATAAATGTAGCCAAATGCAAGGGTAGTCTTCCAAATAATAACATTTATGAGTTTTTAAATCTCCAACATCAAAATCGTATTTTCCCGTATTTAAAATTGCTTTCATTCATACAACATTTCGTTGCTTCACTACAGTAGTAAGTTCGCGTGGTACGGACGAGATCCGCACATAGGACATGTCTTGGAATGGCCGGTACCCTTTAAAAGTTGTTAATAATGTACTTAAGAAATTAAATGAACCTAAATGTATACATGGGCCTACTGATGATAGCTTGATTAAGATTTGGGTTAGATTGCCTTATCTAGGAAAACCAGGTGAATCCATTTTACGTACCGTAGATTTTTAAATAAGGTAAAGAAACACTTAATTAAAGAGGTAAAATTCATAACTTTATGGCAGTATATAAAAGTGTCTCTCATTTTATATCTACAACCCCTAAGGAGTATACAACAGAAGTTCTGTTGTCTATCATTTTAAATGTCCAGGCTGTAATAGTGATTATATTGGTAAGACAGATAGGTGCTTAATAACTGGACTTAAAGAACATTCTTCACGATCTGATAGTGTTATATTTGATCATGTTAAAAACTGTGAGGCATTCCAATATGATTTAGGATTACAGGGTATACTTGAAAATGATAATGTCGTCTGTAATGTAAGTAATAAATTAGGTTAAATATTTTCTAGTACTAACATTATTGACAGCTCCCGAAACTGGTCTATCCTATTGTTTAAAGAAGCGTTTGCTATAAGTAGACTACACTCTTAACAATGGGTTTAGAGATTCAAAGGACCTTTCATTGTTTTTGTAGGTAGCTTTGATCAGTAGAGTAAGAATGCTTGGATCTTTTGTTTAAATCACTGATATGTCACTTACTAGAGGTAATGTTTTGATTGGTTAAACACTTTTGGTACTAGTGCATATAGCCTTGCTAATATGGATATTTTTTTTTTCATCCCTGATGATGACATAATTAATGTCGAAATGACTGTTGAATCTCAACACGATGGCGTGTATTTCAATACTTGGAGTATGTATTATACTTTCTTATAATAAGACGAACATGATTATAAAAATCTAAAATATGAATGTCGTGCGTATAAGACGACCCCCTTTTTTCGATCGTAATTTGCTACTTTAAGCCAGGTCCTATTATACGCGAGTGTATACGGTATGTATTTAAAAACCAGGTCACCTGAGCGTTAGTGATACAGTGGCGGATACAAGGGGGAAATTTTCCATGGGGAGGACCCCACCCCCTTTTATTTTGGGTATTTTTGGAAATGTTTTGAAACCCCCTCTTTCAAATCCTGGATCCACCCTGCGTATACTGATCATATTACTATAGCAACCGGTGACTGCTACAACAGTTGGCTATAAAAAACTAAAATTAAAAGACGGCGATTGACTTATAAAGCAATTAGTAGAGCATGCATCGTACACTAAATGGAAAATTATTATACTTAGGTTAGAATTAATGCATTCAAAAATTTCCTTCGGGCCTTGCAGGCCCTCCGGAAATTTGTTCAAGCATTAAATCTAACCTTCGTATAATAATTTTCCTATAGTGTACTACGCGGAGCTCTACTTTATTGCCTAATATAGGCCTAGATAGCATATTACCTATTGATTTTAATTGATTATTTAAAATAACTCCATTGTATTAACGCAATTAACATTCTTGATACAGCTGGTACTTTATTGTGAAGCGTTTAGTCTTGGTGGTAGGCTATTCTGGGCTATTATTTTGTATTTGTTTGCTTTGTACTTTTAACTTGTCCACGTCACTCCCCATCATCGATGAAGTGATGCGTAACATCCAACAAAACAAGACGTGATGTGTCAAAAACGTGGATTATAAGGAGGATTCAAAACATCGATAGTTTTACTTTGATGATAATAATCGCTGAGGTCTACGTGTCTTGTATTTGGTTTATTGTAATGCTGATGTTGAAAATTTTATATTTATCCAACCACGTCAATATACTGATATAGCTAGGCCTAGGCTAGCTGTGTTAAGTCGAATGAAACAGAGGGAGAAGAAGCCAAATCATATCGTGGAAGAAAAGCCGGTCTCGTCGTAGCAGGGAAGTGACGGCCGAAGCATAGGATGCGCGATGGATTTATCTAAAAACAAACTGAGCTAATTTGTTTGGGTCAGTCTCTTCATTTATTATTTTTATGAAATTCCTACTTCATATCTTCCCCTTCTTGCTACTCCATCCATTGGCATATTAGGCTAGGCTAGGCCTAGGTGCTAGCTACAGTAAGTAGTACTGTAGTAGGCCTAACTTTGTGCACATGTCTTAGGCTTAGGTATAGACTTACACTGACAGCAGTAGTATGTAGGCCTGTCCCTCCTCTCTGATTACTCTAGTCTTAATGTATCTAGGCCTAGGCCCTAGTACTTTCTAAGTTAGGACTAGGCCTTGCCCGAAGTGGTCTGAAGAGTCATAGGCATTTTCAACAACCTATTCCAACCATATTCCAACTATATTCAATATCTTTAAAGTTTTCTTAACATTTTAATTGAACAATTAATTTGTAGAGCAATGTCCAACAGAGCACATTTGCACAACACAAGACTTTGGACAAGTTTAACTTTTTTTTTTTGAGAATTTAGCTCAAAACTAGGGCTTATGTAATTGCTCGAATAAGCGCCTCAGCGCTAAATAATAACATTTTTGGAGGCTTCAGTGCGGCTCTTATATTTGAGAGAATATTTGAGACACTTAATATTGGTGTGGCGCTTTCTATGCCCATTTCCATACCTACTGTATCTTGCGTATTCCCGTAGTTCAGTAGGCCTGTTATAGGTCCTACGTCATCGTAAATAAAAATTTACAAAGAAATGCTTGTGTCTTATTTGTGTTATTTATTAATTTTAACACTGTATACATTGTATTTAAAAAACCCTGTTTCTCAAAATGTGTCATTACACACAGTGTAATGACCTACTCTCAATTAAGCGCTGCTTATTCATTGAGAGCAGTGCTTAGCTACAAAAATCAGGTTACGTGCGGCACTAATTTGAGAGCAGTGCTTATTCGAGCATTTACGGTAGTCTACCTATCACCCTTACACTGTCTATTTAGCCAAGTTGAAAATCATATTTTGAGAGCTTTAGGCCGATTGTATCTTGCTAAATGGCCAAACTGATATTAGCAATTGTCATGTAACCTACTTCTATCTAGTTTTAAAATACTTATGTAGTGATAATAGTAGGATAGATTCAGATTTTATTTGTTTAAGGATAAAATCTTGTTTCCAAACAAGATATTACTGTAGGTGATAGCTAGTATCAAACCCAATATACCAATAATAATTATGTATATAATATAATGCTGATTGTCGGAAAATATTAAAAGTTAAACAGCAAAACGTACAAATTTTCCACTCTAAAAAAGGCTCCCTCCCTGTCAATTTTGCATGAACACAAACTAAGGAAGATAGACTGTCTATTAATATAGAACCTCCTTTCACAAACACAAGTTCTTTTTGTCACTGACAGGGATGTAAATTTACTTTTAACTTGTACTATATGAAGATCAAATATTTGCAGAAACCTTACATTCCATTTTATTTCTCTACCACTGGCTATTTACATGGGCGAATTTAAGCTGGGGCAAATCCAGTCGGTCCTCCCCTCCTCAGGGCTATTGGAAAAACATTGTAAAATATACAATTGTTTATACAAGATGGCCTACTGTATGATGAAAATAATAACAGTTTAATGTAACTTTTATATGTTTGCTGAAACCAAGCAAGGGGTTGCATCAGCAACATTGTACAATAACAACACCACAGGTGGTGGCCGCTGCCAGCGCAACATATGGGATGAAATGTACATTGGATTACTGTACAATAGGCCTACAATTAATTTGTTGAACATAATTATTACTATATAGTACTTTGGATTAACTATAATAAAGTTCAAACATGCAGTTAATCAGTACAAAATGATATTAGGAAATATGATGATGCTGAATGCAGAAAGCATGCAGTAACGATCATTCAATACGAAATGCAACAATACAACCACCACAATTGCAATACATAATAGTAAGGTCTACTTAGTGATTATGAATACAAATTACAAAAAAAGATACAATAGTCGTTGGAAGCACAGCAATACAATAAAGTATGAATTGAAATACAATCATGAATAGTTAGTGAATATGAAAAGGAGTACATTATTGTTCAATGGTTGTTAAATACGAATAAAATACGGTAGGGGCTTATGAATTAATATTATCCAATAATTTGTTTTTAATTTTCAAATAAAAGATAATTTTAGATAGGTAGGAATGTTGAATGATGAAAATTTATAAACATTTTCAAAAACATGCAATGTGAATAAAATAAATAAAAAATAAAAGTGAGTTTCTATTAATTTTAACAAGAATTAATCACACTGTTGTATCAATAATAATATGAAAATAATATTGATAAAATAATATAATTGTATCAATAATAATATTGAAAATAATAATATAATAATTATCAAAAAATAAACAATAATTAATAATTTTAGTTTCCTTGTTTGGATTATCTACTGTAATTTTGTCCTAACTGTAAATGTTTGCAATGATAAACAACCTTTCCGGATGTGTCAATCAAACTTAATAACAACTATTAGAAGATGGTCGGGAATGTGCACGTCCTAAAAAATACGTATGCTGTCCCACAACTACACATGTTTGCGCATGTTTTTACACTGCCATTTTGTGGGACCTTTGCAATAATATAAGGAGCGGGGCTTACAGTAGTAGAAAGGTCCATGGCCAATAGTTTCAATGAAATGTCCAGTTTGAAAAAGCACCTCATTTGAATAAAATGCACCTAAAAAAAGCATTAACAATTTTGTAAGCACATGTGCTTATTGGCGCAGTATGGTACATTTATTTAAATTTAATGTACTGTAAACTTTTATTATTTTCCAGGTAACTGTTCAAATTACATGTGATCAGTTGTGCTAATATGGAAGACAATGAAGATGCCTACCATCTAGTTTGAATTGAGGCAAAAGCAAAATGGCAGTTGAACATACTGGAAGGTTTGGTTTTTGCTACCTAATATTTCTGAACTCGCTAACGTGTGGCCTGGAGTTGTGTACATCCGCAGCTTTTAGCTACCTCCCACCAATGCTGCTTGAGTCTGGTTTCTCGGAGAGCCTTATGAGTTTAGTCATGGCTATAGGACCACTAATTGCTCTATTTTGTGTTCCGCTGATGGGTACAATGAGCGACCGGTGCACTTCAAGATTGGGACGACGGAAACCGTTCATTCTGTTTCTCTGCATAGCCACTCTTTTGTCCCTGGTACTCATTCCAAACGGAAGCAAAGTAGGACGAGGAATAGCGTACATCTTTCCAGTATCTGCGCATTCGGCAGAGTTATTCACGCTGGCATTATCTGTGATTTTGCTGGACTTTAGTTCTCAGGCTTGTTATACTCCGTTTGAATCTCTTCTGTCGGATCCTTGTAAGTCCGCCGTGCAGTATAACCGTAGCTTTGCTATGTTTTCTTTGATGATGAGTCTAGGAGGCTGTCTAGGTTACCTTATCACATCCGTGAACTGGATGGACAATGCTTTTGGTCGCTACATGGGTGATCAAGAACTTACTGTTTTTTCTCTACTCATAATTATATTTTTTGCTTCGCTTGTGACGTCCATCTGTTTAGCAATTGATCCGCCTTTAGAAGCCAAAGACATTTACACAGATGAGGACGTAACAAACGATGCAAATAAAAACCCACTTCTACCTATCAAAGATAAACCTCAAAACGATATAAATGATCAAAACTCTTTGCCCACTAAATCTGATGATACAGAAACCTTTATTTCATCAAAAAATGTTAATTTATTACAAAATGGTTTTTGCACATTTTTTAAATTGTTGCTTTCACCTATGGTAATAGTGTTAATAGGCATCAAAAGGTTTTGTCAAGTTTGTACTAAAACTGCCATTGCAGACACGTATAATGCAATGCTTTCAATGCCGGAAAACTTCCAAACGCTGTGGTGCGCAGATCTTTTCACATCCATTGGGATCGTGGGATTCCGTCTGTACTTCACCGATTTCATGGGAGAGGCACTCTACCACGGAAAGCCCGAAGGTACTCAAGACATGGTTGACAGGAATTTATATGAAGAAGGTGAGCTATTGTGTATTATGTTTAGCATAAAATTTATACTGTAAAATATTATTGATTTTTTTACCGTAGTCAATAATATTAGTTATTTAGTCAATAATAAATTATTTCAATATCTAATAGTTATTAAATAATAATTATTATTCTTTAAATACCTTAAATAATATTAATAAGACTCCATTAAAAACAATTCAAAATTATCCCCTTCTATAAACCTAAAATTCATATTATCTTGGTGCGATACTTATCAAGGTTATTGATAATTTTTTAGTTATTTAATCAATAATATATTATTTCAATATCTATTAATTATTAAATAATAACAATTATTCTTTATATACCTAATAATATAATTCCATTCAAAATTCAATCCCAAATTATCACCCTACTTGCATCGCATCTGTCTCATTACACAAGACACAAGACATGGAAAAACATAATTCATAATATCAGTGTGCTGTATCAACATAGCCGTAAAAGGACATTAACTGTACTCTGTGTTTAGTGCTTGTTTGATACGGATGAATTATGCAGCCACATGCTTGATAAAACTTCTGTCGATCAGCCCAAAGATTCGTGCATCAGAAAGCATAATCACAAAACATTTTCATTGTACTGTGATGTATGTATGCAAATTGTCTTCTTCTATGGCCAGGTGATCAATTAATTGGTTTGTGGATTACATTTCATTTTGTCATACAGTAATTCTTGGACAGTGACAGTGTATGGGGAACATCTCAACATTGCCACTTGAAATAACGTGATTATTGATACACATTCAGGGTCTCATACACTTGCAGTATTGTAACAACATTTTAAAACAGCCCATTATTTTCTAATTTTCAAGGGTTATCTAGAAGAGATAGGAAACGCTGAAAACATTCAATAAGAACAGTTCCTCAAAGGCTGTCAAACTGTTTTTGGTTTTACTGCCAAATTTATACACTTCAGAATTCTTTGTTCATTTATCTTTAATACAGTAGGCCTGCTTTTGATGTATGATAACTGTATCACAACATTTTTGAAGTGGCACACCATTTTTGCTTGCATATTTCCAATGCAATAACCAAAAAGTAAAGTATATGGGCAATTCCACGGTAACTAAATGACATTCTGACACAGATTTGTATTTTCAACCACATGTACCACAAGGTACTAAACTAAAAAAAATACATTTTTTCATAACAAATAGCTTCCTCTACTGTATATACATAATGATTTTTTTTTTTTGAAAATCACTTTCCGTTATTAAAAAAATTATATTAATATATGAGTGGTAACTAAATGACGTAATCTGACATGGGTTTTATACCTATTGTACATTTAATTAAAAATCTGTGAATTTAGAGGCCTAATTTTTTTTATACAGTATCAAGAGCAATCCTTTAGGGTATAGCAATGAATGTAATACCTTTTATTTAAAAAAAAAAATTATTTATCATAAATATATGGTGATTTTTATTAACAAGACTCCGGTAACTAAATGACGGTAACTAAAATGACAAAAAGTTTAGGCAACTGCAATATACATGATTAGATGTTTTATTATGATTTAAAGACATATTTTTAAAGTAATTGGTTAATTAATATCAAAACAATAGGATATCAAACTAAATATGAATGTTTAATAAAAATTAATTTATTAAAATTGATTAAAAAATGATAGGGTTATTCCACGCCAATTTTAACAAATACATTACACCATGGGACATCATTTTTTTTCTCCACTTTTTGCACTCTGACATATTCATATTCATGAGAAAAAAAAAAACTTAAAATTTTGAGAATCCAATTGTTGTTCATTTTTCTGCAGCGGCAGTTTGAAGTTAAGGGGCAGGCGTGGCTCAGATAATGCGCCACCGAAATGAAAATTGATTTTTACATGCTAATATCTTCAGAAGTACAACCATAACTCTGAAAGTTTGTGTTGTAGGACCATGGTAGGACATACTTTCAATGCTGATTCCAAACCTACAATCAGAAACGTAGCATGTAATGATTAGAAATAGCAAATGTCTGAAAATTGGACAAAACGTTGTCTGGACCATAATTGTTCAAGAGGCTATAACAGGAAGAGTTGAACCTTTTTAAATCTCCATATTTTAAGGAATCATAGCCCACCATTATTTCTCACCTCATATACAGTTATAAACTTAACCAAACTTATTTGGCTGAAATACAACCATCCAAATGAGCCAAAAAGTATTTTTAACAGCCTGCCGCCTCTCTTTTACCTCCCCCAACCCCCGCCAAAAAGAAATCTCTGACATCAGCAATATCGCAACAAAAATTTCTTGATATGTTGAAGAGGTATCCCTCATGAAATTATAACAATTTTTAATGTCCTTACTAAATAAATATTAGAAATTTATGTTCCTCGAAAACCTATGTTTTAACCCCTTTTAACACATCCATAATACGCATTTAACCATATTCGCATCGGATTAACAGACTAACAGGGAAATTCAAAAGCTTTACAATGTGTGTGGTATTAGCATGTGCTCAGAGATACTATACTAATACTATCCATACTGAATTTTCTAGATCGGTAAAAATAGTGGTCAATCTTCATGCATCTGGGCACACTTCGTTCAGCAATAAAAGTAGCCAAGCTGCTGGTTAGCCAGTGCAAACAATGCTATAGACATTTGGCAGGAAAGTATCTAATCACAAATGATCAGTGATGAATTAAAATCACAAAATTGCAAAGTAGTCTATTTATTTCACAACACCAAAACCATACCTAATAGTAACAGGCCCTTAGTCTGAGAATATGCCAAATAAGAAATTGATCATTTGCATAATAATTAAGCTATTCAGTGGAAATTGTTAAAATACTTTATTGTATAAGACTCAAATAACATCCTTGTAAGTACATAACCTTGAAATTCATTCAATAACATACTTCATTGCAAATAAACTGAACTGTTTCAATACAAATTTTGACTTGTCATTGTGTTACAGTCATTTAGTTACCGGCTCGGTAACTTTCAAAAAGTAACACTAAGACAGTCGTACACAGCATTCTAATCTAAAGAATTAGATTGTGTTGCTATTGTTATGGAGTCGTGAAAAATATATTCAATAATTCGTAAACACCTTTTCTGCCGAATGACTCTAATGACTGTTGTACAGTACTGTAGGTGCGATATATTATTATTATATATTATTATGTTGGATATTATGTTGGCATTAATTGATTATATACTCATAAATAAAATTCGCAAATACCGATGTACGGTAACTATACCAAAAGATTGTACTTTTATTCTATCATTTAGTGACCACATGTTCATTACGAGCCTTGTTGATGCACGCCAGCATAATAACAAAAACCAACACCAACTGAAGTACTGTAGTAATAAATAGGCCTAGATATGATCTTTTCTCTTTTTTCTTTCTTCTCTCCCCCCTCCCCTTCTCTCTCTCTCTCTCCCTCTCTCTCTCTCTCTTTTTTTCCCTTTTTTTTGGCCCCCCCCCCTTGGATCCGCCCCTGTATGAAGCAACAATGGAAACAAACCAGAGATCAGATTAAAGGTTCTTTACAGTTTAGCACACACACACAGTTAGCCTACCTACCACCAGTTTTGCCAACTGAGCTAATCTTCTCTCTAACATTATTGTCTGTGATTTTTTAACCTTCTACAAAAATATTCAAATGGAAAATATAAATTTCCAGTTTAATTTCTAATATTGATGATATTGTTTGTTGGTGTTTTTCAGGTATACGTATGGGCAGCTGGGGTCTCCTACTAAACTGTATGACTTCCATGATTTTCTCTGCCTTCTTAGCACGCCTTATTCAAATGTATGGAACAAAAGCAATTTATGTGTTCGGTATGGGAGTGTTTACCTTAGCAACAACTACCATCCTATTCTTGGATAAAATTGCGGTGGTCGTTATGTTAGCATCATTAACAGGATTTGGCAATGCTGTCGTCACCACACTACCCTACACAGTCCTCACCATGTATCACGAGCAACCTGAGGTATGAAAGGAGATTAATATTTAATCTTAAGCTGCACTCACACACCCGATCCAAACCAAAATTTTTAGAACGTTTTTAATGCGCGTCTAGTGCGTGCCTCGATTCTTTACCACTGATTCGATTTTGTTTTTTCGTTTCGTTTTTTTTTTTTTTTTATTCTTTGTGAATTAACCTTTAAATCCTACTACTAACTGCTTTGTGGCTGTTAATACTAATAAACACCTTTTCATTGGTGCAGCTTGTGCAATCTATGGATAGGCCTACTGTAGTGGATGTACAGTAGGAGTATTGTACAATACTATTCATAACATAAAGCTTGATTGTGGGTATGAGTGGGGGTGCTAGCCAGGTGATTTTAAGAATACAGGCTACTGTAATTCGTACACATGCCAACTCATACTGACCAGTACTCATAATTTTAGTTGACTCATACCCATAATTTGGGCTAGCTCATACCCATATTTGGCTAACATGTACCCTAAGTTTAGTGTAAGATCTACATTTGTGTTTCAAACATTATGCACATAGTAACATCTATGTTAAACTATATTATTAAAAGACAAACTTACTAATTAGAATATTTTCATACAGCAGTAATGAAATTTATAAATTCATGATCGTTGTCAAAACTTTAATTCTTCTTCTCGAGTCACAGCTAAGCTCAGTCGGCTAATCTGGTGGTAGCCACTGTGTGTGCGCTGAACCGTGGAGATCTTTGGTCCTTGGTTCAATTCCCATCGCTGCCTCTCCTTGTGTTTCAGCTAGAGGGCTGAAATACAAGTTACAATAGCGCACCATCTTTCAGATGAGACGTTTAAGCCATTGGTCCCGTGCACGTTAAAGAACACAGTACACTCTTCGGAAAAGAGCAGGGGATTGTCTCCCGGTGTACTGTCCAATCACCAAGAGAAGGACTGCACTTTCGTGGGCTATCCTTGGTGTTTTCACCGAATAAATTGATCTTGCTTACGTAGTGTGGTAGAAGGATTCACAGGTAGGAAACCTGACATGGACCACGACTAAATAAAATTATAAATTCATGATCGTAGTCAAAACTTGAATGAGGTAGCGCTATTGCATAAATAGTGAGTAGTGTCAGAGTTGTAGATAAGCACTTAGAGTTTAGTGCAATTCATGCAAAATTTAAGTATTTCAACAATTAGATTTCGTTTTGGTAGACACTTGTACAGTGTATTATAGTAGAAGTATTTAATATTAGATTTTGTTTTATTATTATGCCAAAGTAAAGGTATGTATACACATGGGTATGACCCAATTGGACAGAAGCTGTCCAAAAGTGGGTACTACAGTAGTTGGTATGGGTACATGTTACTATAGTCGTACCCATGCAGATGCCGATTTTAACTATAATTTTTTGCTCAATCCCATGCCAACTTTTTCTGGAACAACAGGTTCCTCTACTTTCCCTCCTAAAATACCAGCTTCTGTTTTAATATGACTTTACAAAATGATATGGAAAATTCCATCATTTTCATACTTTTAAGCATTAGCATTGGTACATGAATATAAACACTTCTTTCTTCTTACTATGTTTGTTTTTGTTTTTTTGTTTTTGTTTTCAGGTTTTCTACCCAGACATGGATAACCATTCTAAACTCTTAAATCGTAAAGGTACAGATATTGCTTTGCTAGATGGGGCGTATTTCCTGGCGGAGGTTGTCGCTTCTTTTCTCTTTGGAGTCGTCGTGGAGTTGACAGGGACAACAACCTCTTACATTGCTTGTTCTGCTATCTTCGGTGTCATTGGATTGTTCTTCGTTTCGAAAGTTAAATTTTCATAAAGTTTCTAAAATTTTATTTATAAAATACTTTTATTTTTTGCTGTTTGTTTTTATGTATTTATCGACAATCTATATATTTATTTGTAGTTTTAACTTGTAGTAATTTTGATGCCAAAACTTGTGTTTGATACCAAAAAATATTTTTACATTGTTTATATTGTTATTGGTACTGTTTTATTAATGTTATTGTTAAATTTTTATCATTATTACTACCACTATTACTATTATTTTTTTAATAAGTTTTAATATTATTTATTATTACTTTTGCTTTTTTTTTCTATTGTTGATATTGTTCTTATTAACATTATAATTATACTGTAGTTTCAACAAAACCCTACTCATATTAATGGACTTGTATCCAGTTTAGATGCTTCTTCTGTGAAGAAGATTGTATGAATTTATACTTGTGTATGTTTTTATATACTAATTTATGACATAATAAGCTAGAATTTTGTAGCGTACTTCCTTACTTTTAATGGTCTTCCTTGATATGTTGAAACAATATATTCATATATCTAAAAAAATATATAATATAGTATATTAATAATAATTATAGTAATAATATTACATTAATGGTATAATCAAATAATGATTATAAAATGTTCTAATCCCATCTAAAGCAATGCTCAGTCAGAAAGTATACGGGGATGTAGTTATGGTGGGTGGAGCAACCCAGCCTCAAAGTCTTCCACCCAGTCTAAAGCTAATTTCATGGCCCTCCACTCACCCTTTATTAAGCCACTTTTCCATCCTTAAATTCCACTCTTATTATTTAGAGTTGACCAATGTTATCACCCACCCACCCTTGAAATGTCTATACCCAGCCTTAGTTTTCACAAGCTACAACCCTGATTATATGAAATGTAACCAAATTAACTAACATAAATCAAAGACTAACCTACTGTAGTGCAGTAGCTGGAGCAAACTAAATCAAAGGTTAAACCAAGAAACTACAGCTCTAAATCCAAGATAAGCCAAGTAACTAATCTAAAGAAATCCAAGATTAACCATGATCAAACTAAACCCGAGATTAGCCAAGTAACTACAGCTAACTAAATCCAAGATAAGCCAAGTAACTAATCTAAACAAATCCAAGATTAACCATGATCAAACTAAACCCGAGATTAGCCAAGTAACTACAGCTAACTAAATCCAAGATAAGCCAAGTAACTAATCTAACTTAATCCAAGATAAGCCAAGTAACTAATCTAAATAAATCCAAGATTAACCATGATCAAACTAAACCCGAGATTAGCCAAGTAACTACAGCTAACTAAATCCAAGATAAGCCAAGTAACTAATCTAAACAAATCCAAGATTAACCATGATCAAACTAAACCCGTTCGTTTTTCTAGTTACGAATACGGTATAGATATGAAGAGGGATCAGCTGAAAACAATCTAAGTTACCGCATTTCGTATGGTTGCAGGTCATCCTTATATGTAGGAAACTTTACTAGAAGGTTTTTAAAGTTGTGTGAATTTATTAAGTATCTGATATGTCTAGTTTTATACATGCTGCCATCAACGGCAAAAAGCTTTCTATGTGTTGGGCAATAATGTTGTCGTTGTGCAATCCAATTTTTAATATTAAAAATATCTTCTCTATTGCTTCAATTCTATATCTTGTCTTGGTTTTTAATGATTTTATAGTTTTACACACACTCACACGTACCAAGTCAGTATATGCCGTTATATCGTTATTCCCATATCAGTCGAGTTTCCAGGGCTTTCAACAACCCGTATGGCCAAGTTTATGAATTTCAGGCAAATTAAAATCTTTCCGGACATTAATAAAATACTGCCACCCAAATCTAATGTACTAAATTTGAAAACAGGCAAATAATGGCCTTTTTTCGCCAAGCCCAGGCCCTTGTACTTTGTTGCTATTAAGGTCCCACAAAACTACAGTGTAAACTTAAACATAAACAACCAATTCAAAACAATTTAGATAGGCCTACGCCACTGTTTTTTGGAGTGGCTTGTGCCTCCCCGCATCCCTAGAAATCTAGATATATGCCACAGATAATGATTACCTGGTAGGATGATGTGCTTGAGGGGCGCTAATTCGCAAAATATGGTTTTTAGATGATTTTTAACTACTTGACCGTGAATTTTTTTTGTGGGGTGCGGAGGCGTGCGCTCCCCTAGATACGCCACTGATGATATGATTCCAAGTATTAGTCTGTTAGGCATTAAATTGTACGCACGACTAGGAATACTCCCCAGGGAGTGGAGGAGGTTGCACTTTGTGCTGGTTTGATTATGGATCCGATGACCAGGGGTAAAAATAACGTTCGCCAGCGCCTTGTATCCATTGGCAATTAAAGGCGCGGAATCAATTTTATTATTATTATTATTATTATTATTATTTTATTATTATTATTATTATTTACACTATTCCCGAATACAGGGCACCCCTCCAATTCGAGACCCCTCTAATTCCGAGACCACTTTCCAAAGGCCTAAATAACAATTTGTAACCTCGTATAAGGCGGTAGAAATAGGTAAAATCGTTAATGGAAAAGAGTGGGGAAGCATTAAATCGCTGGTAGCTTTTCGCGTAAACAATCATCAAGTTTTATATTTCAAAAATGTCCGGTTCGGTAGTAATCTTTGAGGCGGCTATGATAGATAGGCTACTTCCCCTTGGTTTCCGTGTCTGAATTAAACAAGATTAGAAACCATTGACTACAACAGACTTCCATGTGTCAAGGATTTTAATAGGCCTAGAATACCGGAACATGCTTTTATGTTTGTTTGTTTTTTCCGAAAAGTCTTAGAAGTTCAGAAACTCTGCGGAAGTTGTATGGTAGAAAGTGCGTTTGGAGTGCTTGATTGCGTGTAACCAGACTGAATTAGTGAACTCGTACGTTAGTCTTAAGGTCGTTCTTTTTTATCGTTGATTATTATTATTCCACTATTATTATCATAATCTCATCAGAATCTAGTTTACTGCGGTTTTACTATTCCCATTATCATAACAATCTTTAGACTTAATCCCAAAACTACTTTCACGTTCCAAAATTGGAAACATTAAAGCGTCCGTGCGTGAAATGCGTGATTTGCAATATGTACAACATCTTGGGTGAAGTTGGTTCTTCAGCATCAATACAATTGTTGAAGAAGGCTGTTGAGAGCTTCCTTCACTTTGGATTTATTTATTTTTTTAAATTTTATTTGAACCATATTTATAGTGGGCGACTCTTGCAGCAATACTGATATACAGAGGCCCATTTATTTAACACAGAATACAAGCATCAAACATCGAAAAATAATATAACAAAACAATAGAACAAAGACAAATGTGTAGGCTTATACAAGTACAATCTGGTTACTGGTATGATATGGAAATGATGTGCAATCAGTCATGGAATTAGGAAACCTTGGGACACTATGTAAAATGAAATGTTTGAAATGGAATTTAAAGCCGGAAAATGTAACAGAATTGGTGATTGGAGATGGTATACTGTTTAACATTTTAGGAGAAAGGTAGGTAAAGGAAGATCTATATGATTGAAGTTTAGGTTTAGGCATAAGTAGAAAGTTCTGGGTTATGGATTTCTTTTTTTAAAGAAGCATCTCTATTTAATAAATTTTAATGTTATCCTATCACTGCAACCGATTTGAAAAACTCTTTAAAAACTTACATTCCATAAGTATTAGTTTTATTGAAGTGCTTCTATCATCTTTTGCTGTAAACTTGTGGTTTAAACATTTTTTTAAATACACTCTATATTCAAGCAGATAATGTTTATCTAATGCGCAAGTTAATTTCAAAAAAGATTTATGAATTTCTTCGTATTTTGCATGGGACAATACATCTTACTCTGTAACCTCAGCTTGCTTTTGTATAAAATGGTAGTTTATGTCTGTATTTAATATTATTTGTGCAAAGCAGTAAATATTGATTAATAGTTTGATGGAAACGCTATGCCTACCAATTATTTTGTTTGGTTCACTGACTCGCATGACAACTTTGATTGATTGATTGATTGATTGATTGATGGTTGTTGATTGATTGAATAGGCCATCTCAATTACCGAGCACCGTAAACTTCTTTTTGAAACCCCGTCACCTCTATATATTTGTGACCCAGTCTCAAAATAGCAGCCCACCTTAGAAGTTAGTATAATAATAACCAAATATTATTAACCCGATGGGATTACTTTTGCAACACTAAGTTCTAAAGGAAGAGGTAACATTTGCTGATATCGCAGGCCCGTAGCCAGGGGGGGGGGGGGGGTTTATGGTTCGGCGACTGATATCGCAGGCCCGTAGCCAGGGGGGGGGGGGTGTTTATGGTTCGGCGAACCCCCGTTTTCTAACGAACCCCCTGTTTTCTAGCGAACCCCCTCGAATTTTTGAATGAGTCCCACTCGGACAGAATGTCCGTTTTTAACTTAGGCCCTAGCCAGCATTAAAAATCAAAATTTAGCATCTGATTCATTATTTGGTCATCCGTTTTAAATTGTAGCAATTGATACAAGTCTACATTCATAGAATATCTCAGCTTTAAAAGTTCGGAGATTTAAATTGAACGCAACTCCAGCAAACCATGACTTTACGATGGCTCACATAAGGATGGCAAACATCGATAAAAACCCGGCTGCCGTCTCAACTTTCACTGGCCTTTGGCTGAATGTTTGTAAGAAATGCCAACCGGTAACGAAACCGGTCGCCGTCTACCTAGAGTAAATGGTGCCACCAAACGAAGCTAAAGTTTTGCGACTTAATCAACCAATGCAGATAAAGTTCTGCGACTTAATCACCTGATTAGTAAATTCCATAGCCACACTGTCCATAGCGCAAACTAAACTATGTGCTGATGGAACATTTTTGGGAAATTGAATCTCCTTTTTTCCACCCCAGACAAAAATATTATTAATAAATCAACATGGTCCATCTCAGTCATCATAGCCAGTCACAAAATTAGGCTGGGAAGTTTGTTTTCAACAGCAGACACACACACACACAACAGAACGGAGTGCGTCAATCGGAGTTTGTTAATTTTTAGTGATAAAGAATCATAACGTAGAATAACTGACTTTTTTCGTCCGCTGTTGGAAAGAAGAAAACGACATATAATCATTTAAGGTGGGTTACCGTATTGATTACAAAATCAATTAGCTTAGCCTAGATGTTGACTAACTTGGTTCGCTCCTCGTTCATTTAGAGACAGAATTATACCCCGACGACAAGAAACTAGTGTAGGCCTAGGCCAAAGTACAGTAGGACGTACTGCTAGGCCTATGCTTTTGTTGTAAAAGTTTAAGTGCATGTACAGGATGATGTGTATAAGAGACAGCCTAGGGCCAGGCCTATATTATTATTAATTATTATATGAAAGTGGTTATTCGCACGGTATACCGTGCGAATAAGCTCTTATGAGTCTCCTGAGATTCGACGATGACGTCAGTGCACGTTTACAAACGCCATTGATTGGAATAAAAATAGACGCGCTGAATTTCGTTTTTTTTAAATGAAAATAGAATTAATTGAACATTTATAGCATATATATAAAAACAAGATTAATATTTTATAAATTGTATTTTTAAAGATTCATATATAATTCATATTTCATTTGGTAGACAATAAATATTCAGTAAGATATACTAAAAACGATTATTAATTCTGAAATGTGCATCAAATCTCAGCTATTATTAATCAGTACCGGTATGTATTATGTTAAAGTCTTAAAATATTACAAATAATTGTAATTAAAGTTTAGGTTCCCATGATGTTAGATGACGTACTGAATATGATGCTATATTTTTGGCTCTGACTTCATTTAACGATGGCCCTGTCAATAGTAATGACAATATTTGTAGATTTGTAGAATATATGTAGTAAAATAGTAGGCCTACTATTATTTTCAGTGTACAAAATGAGAGTAAAGAAGTAGTAGAACAAGAAGTATAGGAAGAGGAAGAGGAGGAAAAAGAAGAAGAAGAATAGCCTTTTTTGTTTTATAATAATAAACGTGTTGAGTATATTTATATTGATTAGGCGATGAGGGGTTTTTTTTATGTTTTTCGATGTGATTTACCGTAAACATGCCAATTCTCAGAAAATATTTTCTAATTATATTATATTACCACCTTTTTATTACATAGATCTTTTTCAAAACATAACTGCTTTTATAACATTATATAGACCCATTAAACACAAGAAACTGCT